TAATTATTCTAAATTCTAAATTTATCTTACTCTAATCGTTGCTTCTATTTTTGGAGTTAAATTTAAAAAACAAGAAAGAATACATTAGATCAGTTGAGGAGCGATGTGATTATTTGAGGGGAAGAAGGCGTGAGATTAACTGAGAACCGATATGGTTTATCTGAGAGAAAGTATTACGACAGTACCATCATCCTTCCTCCACTATCAGAATGTGCGAATGGCTTAAATAAAGTAAATAATAGAAAATGGTGACCATTTCGGTTTTAAGTGCTCTCGATGAATGTATGTCAAGCACTGTGATGACCATATTGTACGGTTTTGTAATTCATGACATTTTACAATTTTAAGATCTCAAAAAAGTGAAATATGTTCCGATATATTGTATGGTTTCAGACATTTCATGATTTCGAAGATTTCTAAATTTAAACAAATTGAAATATTCTGTCAAATCGAAATGTATGTTAGCAAAAAAGATGAGCAAGGATGCAACATTTCGTGGAGACTGATAAGAGCTTTTTAGTCTTGATATCGTGTTCTTATCACTGACATGCTATTAGCACTTCGGCTACATAATGGCTCCCGTAATTAATCACAAGCATTAATAAATCACCTTTCATTTCAAATATTTCCTGTCGGGTCAGTGCTCGTGTTGCGAAACGAAAAACCGCCGATTTAAAATTTGAAATGGCTGTCTTATGGCAGAGTACGTTTACCTGTGCTACTTTTCCCCCTTGGTTGTTCCCCGAGATGTCGCGGAAATTGATATTTGATTACAATCAGTCAGTAATGTGGTCCATTTTTCATTGATTTGAGGAGAAAGCGATTGTTAGATTGAGCGTTTTTCACGTTGATCAAACTTTTTCGGTTTTTCGATGTTGAAAATAAGAGAGATGGGAAATGAACGATATTTGGAAACGCATATTTGAATAATTTGTAAAGGTCGTGGAAAGTTTGAGTTCCTCGAGAAGTTTCGAAAACTCTCGATTAATTCCAGAATTTGAAAACTTTCGTCAAGTATTTCAAAGTTGAGCTTAAAAATTTAACGGATAAATAGAAAGATTACGGGATTTTTATGGAGTTGAATGAACGATCAAAGCAAGAACAAGAAAAACAGCAACCAGAAAAAGAAGGATTTGAGTATATTGATATATTGTTAGAAAATTTGGAACAACGCAGACTATTCGCTAACGAAGAAAATTCTTCCATACATTTGCATGTTTTGTTTTATATCATATTAAGTAATAAAATATTTTTAAAAATTTTAGAAAGTTTTGAATATTTGAAATAATTCAGGAGAATAAATTCTAAAAATGTTCGTTCTACAAATTATATCTAAAGAAAAAGTTCTTTTAAGAGAAGATTGTCGAATCTACATTTTTAATTACTACATTGTTGTTAATTTCAGCTCTTTAAACGACGTTTATATGCTTTATAAGGTGGTTGCGGAAGAATTCAGTGAGAAATTACATCAGAGTATATTAAGTGGTGATAATGTCGAGTACCTGACTCATTTTCCGGATTTATTGGAAGTGTATTGTACTGCTGACCGGAACTCAACATCCCCAAACGTAATATCAGATGGTCAGTCAGTTTTGTAATAACTTTCTTATAGTTTTGAAATGGACGAAATCATTTTTCTCCCTGAGTGCACTGCTACTTGTAAATTCTAACTGGACTATGCGACAAAAAAGTGTAATCGACTGATATATTATAAACAACAAAACTCTTTCATTTTTTTGAAATGCAAGCAGATTTTTTCTCTTTTTATATTTTTACATTTCTTCAGAAATATTGTTTTCTTAACTTAAAATTTTAGAGCAAATAATATGGACAATAGGAGAATTTATCTCAGTTCTCTCATCACCAATCGTTTACAGAAGTTTTGGTGGTCTCTATCAAGATTGCATTATTGAGCTCACTAAATTTCTGCAACCATCTAATGCGCTTTTCGTGCAGAAACAAATTGTTTTAATTTTGAAGGGTAAGGCATGAACATTCTTCACTGAAATTTTAAACTTGTTCGAACAGTCTACTTTTTAAAATTTCCAGAAGCCATCGAATGTCGTTTTAGTTTGCTCAAAGAAAATATAGGGAATATATTATGTCTTACTGTGTTTCAGCATTTCTGATTCGTTTTTGATATTTCATCTTTGTTACATATAATGAAACTTCAGGTATCATGGATAAAAAAGGCTTTTTGGTATTTAATGTTAATGATGACAAAGAACAAATAATATTCACTACCTCAATGGGTGATATCGTTTTAACACCAGTAACATTTGTTGTCAATTATTTGTCAGATAGTTCTTCGATTATTCAGGACATTTTACTGTTGAGTTTTTTGCAAGTTTTTTCGAAAAAATTTTTGGATTTTCGAATCGAAGTCAGTGATGTCATTTAAATTAATAAGCTTCAGCAAATCTAGCTTATTGAAATATTTTAGTTTCCATTTGTCATTTTGACGTACTCTCATTTTCAAGTAATTATTTATTTCACTAGGATTTTATTCATTACAACTTGTTGCTTATTTATAATTTCTTAATGCTAAAACAGTGCTTTAGTTCAGTATAGCGCTATTCTTTAAGTTAATAGTGATACTTCAGTTTATTGGCATAATTATTAATCATGCCTAATAAAATTTTTCAGATCCGTTTTACAACACGGAACGATGAACGAATCAATTATGCAGAACGAAGACGTTTTAATATATCTATGGTTTTGTTTGTTACAGGTCATCCTCTCAGGTGTATCGCAAGTGAAGAATGTATGGTTATTACTTTTTTGTATGGTAATGAAGTTGTAAGAATATTGTATTTTGACTTACATGTTGGTGATCAACAGGTCTAAATCGAATTTTATCTTTCTTTCTGAACGAATTATGCATATTAGTTCTTTTTTATCATTTATCCAATTCTCTATTATTCTGGAAAATACAGCAGGACGATACCAAAATGTATATAATAGTGCTTTGGCATCTCCAGTCATATATGTATATATATCGTCATTACATAATTTACTAATTTGCTTATTTTCTTATCATAGAAATTCACTGTTATTAGCATTTTTACTTCTTGTGCTTTTTACAGAAAGCAATATTACTTACACAGCGATTGCTTTCAATGGATGCGTGTAATGCAGTGTTTGCGGATTTATTGTTTGATAATTTAATAGCAGTGGAACAATGGCTTTACGATTTAACAACTGAAATGGTTGGTGATGAAGAACTACGCCTGAAAGAAGCGTTGGAAACTTGTGAACGTACTTTTGGTGATGTTCTTCGAAAGTAAGTTTGAAAGTTCCAAAGTCTTTAATTTTCTTCCAATTTTTCAAAAAGGTTGTATCAAACAGAATTCATCCTATCTCTTTATAAGTTTTAAATTTTTATTATTCAAACATCCAAACTCGAGGGTTTAAGAAGTTTGAATAGTAATTAAAAATTTAAATATAAGATTTGAACAGTGAGGTTTGGAATCTAGTTTTAAATATATTTGATAGTCCGTGCAAATGATGTATTTCTAGCTATAGTAGTGGAAAATTTGTTTTATCCTCATCCATCACCATAGATAGAATATCAATAGAACTGTTGCACAGAGAAGCGAAATATATGTAAATTGAATCAAAGGATCTGTTGAAATTCAATTAATTAAGCATTTTTTAGTATTGATGAATGTAAAACCTTTGATAAAATTGACTTTTATCAATGCCTGAAGTGGACAAAACAAATTGCGGAAATATGTTCCTCACGTCTAAGACCAGGTACGTTTTCAAAGTTTTTTTAAAAAATAATAGCATTAGAAAGATTTTCATAATTTTTAATAAAAATTATTTAATATGGAAAACGGATCATGTAAGATAACAAAATATATACTGCAAAAGTTTGAGGTGAGATTGAAATTTTTCTTTATTTACACTGGTGGACTGTTTGTTATATTCATGTTTAGCTTTTCGTTGTCCTTCCTATGCTTCACGAATGTTAAGGAAATTCTCTTCCACATACAACGCAACAAATAGCCAGTAAGCAAAGAAACAGTTAAGCTTGCACTCATAATGATAAATAATCATTCAAATTAATAGTTCAATTGGAAAAATGGAGCTGTTAGGAATTGAATAAACAAGATTTGTTCAGTTTAGATATAATTTTCAATTTCTTCAGCTTATATTTTTGTTAACTCATCGATGCTTCGAACAGTGGATTTGGTGTCTGAATATCCGCATATATCGATAGAGTGTTGTTTAATAGAAGTAAGAGAAAACAAAAGAAAAATATCGAAGAGAAGGAAATAAAAAAGTCAAAAGATAGATGATCATTCTCTTTACAAATATTGGCTATATAGTGTCAAGTGTGGAGTGAATTTTGGATCTTTATAGCTTAGATCATAAAACTGAAGTAGGACTTACAGATCAATGAGGTTATTTCTCTTATCCATCCTCTTAGCAATTTCTAATTGCAGATGAGCGTTTGATTAATATGTTAATCGATTTATGTTCTGTAAATTTGCGAGTTGAAAAGAGCGTTCGAAAAGAATGTTGTATTCTATCCAATTATTTGTATGCTGTAGTGAGGAAAATTTTTCAATGTGAGTTGCAAATAAAAGCCGAAAATATTGGTGAATTATTCGAGTTCGTTTTCGTGGTATTGGAAGATAATGATATCAATTCGTCGTAAGTACTAGCTTTATATTAACTGATATTTTTACTGCTAAATATTAGCGGTAATGTTATTTAAGATTCACAAAAGTTTTCTTCAGGATGATGAGAAACTTCTAGATTTTGAGTGCTATGCATATTTTTTGAAGGTTTCTTCTATTTTTTAAAAAAAATATTTTTACAGATTGTTACTGAATGAACTTAGTGAACAATTAACATTTGCTCGACAACGTTATTTTGACAATGAGGTATGCAAGTATATCTTTCATGTTTTCCCAAGAATTCAATAAATTTTTTATGAAAAAATTGTAGTTGACGAAATATTTGCGAATGAGAGAAATGATGATAGTAGCATTGAAACAAACATTGGAAAGCGGTAAAGGCAATGCTTTTATTGCTAAGATTGTTCCTGAAACTGCAGAAGTGATAGAGGTAAATTTTTAATTCAGTTTTAATACTTACTTCATGGTTATGGGATGATGTTTATAATTTATCGTTACATTATTTTCATCATATTGGAATTTTTATTGGAAAAAAGACATTTAAATAAAAGCACTCTCGGTAATTCGCAGTAGTATCCAAGTCTGGAATTTATATATTTTATTTAATAGAAATTTTAACTTACGGCTTGTGCTGGAGATGAAAATCTTAGTTTTATCAACTGTAATGAAATTTGTCATTTCTTTATTTTAATTGTAGTTTTATTCAGATTATTGAAAATATTTCAAAGATGCCAGATGTTGGTAGAGAGGCCTTAGCTGGATTGATTTCACTCATCTTGTCGTTCACTGAATGTGTCGAGACGAGAGTAGACTTTTGGCTTGCTGTTATTTCGTTACCGTGGCTCCAAACAGCAGTAATATTTTTTGTTTGTTTAGTATAAGCAACTGCAAGCTCGTAATACCAAAATTTCATACAAATTGAGATTTATATTTCTAAATTATAATTGGTATTTGACTGTAGCTTATGCCGCAGTATTGAGAATATCCGCTATTTAAGTCGTTGTAAACATTTGCTGCATAGTGATTATTAAAGTGTCTTAATTATATAACTAAAATCTGTAGTTTCCAGGAACTGGTTACTGATCTGAAACGTTTCAATCTAGCCTTACCAGCGTTATCACAAATTCACAAGTTATCGTTACGTTGCAGTGATTATCTGTGTAAGTTTTCTCTTTTGTGTCAAAAATATTCGACTGGTAAAAAAGACAAAATAATTCTTTAGTTTATGAATCTTTTTGAAATTTAAGCTACCTGATCCAAAATCACAATGAAATTTAAACTTTAGCACTCGATATCAAAGCGAGTACGATTCCAGCATTGGGACATTTGAATTTTTGTGCGGAGTGGCGTCGCAAGGTATACATCGCAGCCTTAACGTCGGCAGAAATATCATTACTGAGAACAACTGTAGAACATTTTCCTTCTTTCATTTTCTCAACAGGTCAGGATCATTCTTTGTTTTTTAAATTTGAAAAAAAGAGTTTATCTACCAATTGGGAATGACTGGTCATCGAAAACTATTTATCTCGCTTAACATCTAACAATAGATTTTGGCTACATGTATATTGCATGAAAAGGTTGAAATGCCTTACTGTCTTTTTTATCCAGTGAATACACTGGGTTCGTGATTTGCTTTTCCTGAACGATAATTAAAATAAATTAATAGAACTCTTTTTTCCTCTATTGCGCATTTTTTATCGTTGCAGACAGAAACGAATTTGAATTTCTTCTAAACCATGTGCTTTATCACGGAATGCATGCACTTCAAAATGATGATAAAACTGAATTATGTCCTGCTGTTTTAAAAGTAAAGTGATTTTGTAAACTTTTTTGTTATTAGCAACTATTATTTATAGCGGAAAATAAGGAGAGAAAAGAGAAGATGAGTTCTTTTTAGGTGTCCAATGCACCTCGTTTATCAGTGATGAGAGAGGCTTGCTTTGTTGAATGATCATATATATTACATTGAAATATATATTACATTGATAAACTACCTTTGTAACTAACTTGGGGATCCAAGTTAGTTACCAATTTTCTTAAAATGTATTATTTTAGGCAGTGGCAAGAACGTTATGTTTTGTTAGTATGGAAAAACGATTATCCGATGATGAAGTGTGTATGATGTGTCGACGAAAAGAAACTGCTAATCGAAACTTGGAAATTAATTTGGACAAAATTTTTGAACTTGTAAAAAAGGCTATACATGGTACTAATGCAGCAAAATTAGGTTGCTGTGAGTTGTTGGCCTCCTTGCTAAATCATATATCCTTCGCAGTATTGAAAAGATATGAAGCAGAAATACTTTGCACATTAATTTTGATGAAAGAAACAGATGAAGATTTGCGATCCGAATTTCAGTACGTTGTTTTTAATTTTAGTCATCTTAGATTACCACATAATTATTATTTAATAAATGACTGAATAAGACTGAATAAGAAAAATGATGTGGCCTGATCGGGAATCAAGCAGAATAATTTAAAATTTCTGACTGTAGGATCGGATTGAATGATACGTGACTATTTAGAGCATGAGATTACGTCATTTCTGAGTTGCATACTGTTATGTCGTCGGATTTCCGATGAAATGCGTAATTTTATTAGTTATAAACTTTTTTAAAATTGAAGAAAGTGGATGCATTTGTATGATTTTGCAGTTATGAAAATTTTTTAAAATGAAATTTAAAAATTAAAAAAATGAAACTTTTTTAAAATTAAACTTCTATATTTAATTTTTTTTATCGAAATCATTTAACATGAAACACTTTAGATGGTGCTTAAAACCGATGATGGAATTGAAGCTTGAAAATGTACAGAAGGAGGTGTTGCAAGTTATTGGCGATCTGCAAAAATTACCAAAAACATTCGACAGTTTCAAATTACACGCAATGTCTTGTTTGGTGTAAGTACTATAAAGTAATTGGGTAAATTTCCAAGTGAGTTAAGTTAGTTGTTTTCAACTGGTTAGAAGTTTACAAACTTAGTTGCACTTTCTTTATATATTATATATTTGCTCTGCACCAACTCTCCATTTCCACCACTTCAACTTTTTTTTTTACTTCGGAAGTCTCAGAAAATGTGATAAAATGAAGAGAAGGAAAAGGGAGGAGGAAGTGGATCGAATGAAAGAAAAAACAACAACAAGTTCGTGATGTGTTTTTATTGATTCGAGATCAGCGTTCAATAATTTCCATGATGTTTCGAAAGGACATTTTTCAGTAATTCGCGAGATGATAATCTTTTTTTGATGTGCTTAAATCAACTTTTAAATACAGCAATTGTATCTGATTATGCATTTGTTGTCGCTGAAATCAAGCACGCTATTGAGGTTAACTGATTAGTATTTTATTTTACTTTTTTTTGCACTTAATTTCGGGATTTATAATCTTTCCTGGAACAACAAAATTTTGAGATTTGTCGATGTCTCAAAAGTTTTCCATTACAGAAATTAGATTATAGGATCATATGGAAAAATATGCCCTCAATTTACACCCTCGACAGTGGTTTCTTCGGAAGAAGAAATATATAATGGAAAGTTTTACCAAACGGATAATCTTTGGATATTCTGAAGGGACAAAGCCTCTGAAACGAAGTAAGAATTAACGACTATGTTTTGGAAATATCACCATCAAAAAATGAACTTGTATAAATATGTACTATCATTTTCATTAGCAGGTGAATTAAATTTAATTATTCAAATTCTGCTTTCGAATACGTGATTTTGTAAGTTAGTCTTTTTAATCTTGTTTCCGTGTATTGTCTAATTCGCTTGTTTTATAGTTCTGTGACTCATTTAAATTGCTGAACAAAAATTTTTAATGATTTTTAGATAATTTTTCGCAGTTTGTTGATGAAAGATTCGGGAAAAGTATCGAGTATGCTTTAAATGTTGTTGTTGAGATATTTGATTTCTCAAGAGATGATATTGAAAGGTAGGCTACTATATTTCCGATGTAGTGGTTATAATATTTTTATTTTGATACATTCGTCATTCTCAATACTGTACAACAAATTGAACTAAATGACTCTCGTTTTCTGGACCATTCGACCCGAATGCCTCATTCTGTAACAGCAGCTGAAATGTGTCACAACACTACTATGGGGATTTCTCTGAAACTGCTTAATACATAGGAAAATATTATAAGATAGACTGGTCTTTTTAGACAATCTGTGTTTGAGGAAAAGTTTTGATCAGAGAAGGCAAAATCGATGAAAATTCGCGAAATTTAAAATGTAATATCAAATTTAAAACCAACATTTCATTCTCATTTCTTATCTCTTACAGTTTTATGCGGGATGCTTGTCCTGAAATTGTTACTTCCCTTCTGCTAGACTGCATAGCGGAAAGGGAGAAAGTGCAAATAGCATTGGACACTATTGCACGACTACGACGAATACAACCCGAAATATTGATGGAAGAATCTTTGCCGTTATTATTAATCAAACATCTTTTAAATAATTTGTCGACTCAAATTATGCAGAATGCTCTAAATTTTATCAGCATTTATACAAAAGGAAGTTGTAATTGGGTATGCGTTGATGGATATATTATTTATTTTTTCTTAATCATTTTAGAGCTAAGTAAGCTCTCTGCTGCAAAACCGGCATAAAAACGGTTTGTATTTTTGTCCTGCCGAAAATTTCGACATGCATAGTAAAATGATCATAATTTTTTTCTGAATAGAATTTAGTGATAGGTTATCATTTGTTCATTTTTTCATTTTAATCTCATCAGATGAAAGGATTCTTATTTCCTTTTAAGATAGTTTCGTTTTGAAATTTTGATCTTCATTTAAAATTTTTGTCGAAACATTGATTTTACTTTGTTTTAGTCAACATTGGTTTCAAAGAAGGCTTATGAGTGTACTGTTTGTCTGTTGCAATATTTATCTGTTCATGAAGAGAAAGCAATGATGCATATTAAGAATTTATACAAATTAACCTACGGTCGAAATTGTCCATTCAGTTTTACCACTTTCATCAGACAAAGGTTCAGTTTTATAGCTTTTATTGTCTTTTTCCTAAAATTCATCTAAAGATAGATAAAACCTGAAAAAGTGATTATCGAAAAAGAAAAATGATATGTTTGAATAGCCTACCTTTGGTAACTCAGTGGATGTCATTCAAAAAATAATTCTGATATTTATAAGTTTCAATTTACACTTTACAGTTATTTGGGAATTTTGCTGCACTTTCGACAAGCTGTCAATGATGATCGTTTCTATGATGACCGACTGATATTAGTATCAAGCCTCTGTAAAGTGATGGCAATGATCAAAGTAGATGGCACCGATTTCCTTGATAACGTCAGTTTTTTAAATGTCTACAAATTAGTAATCGTTTAAATAAATTGAAAAAAAGCAAATTGAAAAAAATAAATTGAAAAAAGTTTTCGAACCTTTAATATCAGCAAGACTTGCTTTATTACTGTAATTAGTTTACTCTGTCACTATTACTGTAATTAGTTCCATATTTTTAGTTTCAATTTTGGAATGAAATCAGAATTTCAAAGTAAATATGAATTTATAAATCGATATGAAGTCAATTTTAAATTTATAAGCAAGCTTAAAAGTACTGTGAAATTTCCTGCTGTTTTGTTAAATATAAACTGATAATGCAAATTTAATTTTTAGACAGCTGATAAAATGTTAATTGTTTTACGCGCATTCACACCATTAGGCACTGTTGTCATTGAATTATGGAAAGTTTATTTGAAAACTTTGTCAGATGAGGTGATTTTTTATAAATCGTTTTATGTATGATAAATAAAAAAAATAAGATAATGAGCTAGGATGGCTGGCTTAGTTTTCGAAGTTTTAATATCAGCAGGACTTGCTTTATTACTGTAATCAGTTTATTCTGTCACTATTGCTGTAATTAATTCCATATTCTTTTTAATCCGATTAAACTTTCTGTAAATAAGTCGATAGATTTTATTTAAACTTACTGGATTTGTTGTTTGATGAATTTTAGGTTCTGGTGAAACTTTTGCCGCAGACTCTAGTTTCAATCATTCCGTTATTGCAGTACAAGCAGGCTCGGGAGCTATTAAGATATATTTTCGAAGAAAGACAATTGCATTTTGCAGCGAAGTAAACTTTTGTTAAGTCTAAACTTTGAATTATTTGCGAGCATTTGAAAAAAACCATGGCATTGTTGTTCTTACCGATATTTTTACTTCTGAACATTGTTTAATTTTTCAGTGGAAAATTTGAACGCATCGCTTTGGTTTTTTGGAATAATCCGAAAATTTCAATTAATGAATACCTACCACCGGGAGTTGAGAAGTCTCCACCAGAACTGGTTTAGTTTTTGTTTGATTAGTAGACAGTGGTGACTAAAGTAATATTTAAAAAAGGATCAAGAACTAGAATTGTTTCGCTTTAATTTTCAGTTAAAGATAATTTTAGAATAGTCTTTTCCTTGGAGCAAATATAGCGCAGAGCTGTATTCCTTTCTCCAGTTCTCAAATTGATTGATTTTCGTGAATGAAAAGTTATATCCACCAAAATTGTTATCATTTCTTGATCACTACATCGCATCTGCTTGCTTTTATTTTCAATTTTTTTCAGGTTTTTCATGCATGCGCTTCTTTACTGAAGGAAAGTTATGAAGAAGTCGGTGAAGTAATATTGCATAAACTACTAAGTTTGCTAAATGAATACAATGATTTGTCAGATAGCTGTTTTGATAGCGTTGCTGCGGAATTGGTTTGTTATTTTATTATCTATGCGTTTTTGTAAATTCTTGAATTTGCGAAGCTTCAAAATGCTGTGAATAACAATATAAGGCAACATAATTTCGAACATTGTACTTTCGAAATTGCAGGAAATGTCGCGAGTCAGGCTGATCTTTATTTAGCAGCTATTTTCGAAACTTCAAGTTCAAAAATTGACTACAATTTCAGGTTCCGTCACTACTTCAAATCATACGAAAAAGTTCGTTAGCGGAATGTCGTTACTTAGCTTCTTTAGCACTTGGTTGTTTGGGTGCTGTCGATCCAGGTCGTATTGGTTTATCACTGATGCGTAATACAAATGCTGATCGGCATAATGCCCGATTTGTATTTGTTGATTCTGGAAAACAGGTATTAAAAGTATCTGTTGATCTAAGAAATCACTACAAAAAACCACTACTAAATTTAAATTGACTTATACATTGCGATTTCACATAGATTTTTCTGATTTAAAAAATAACTTATGCGCTTATTATTAGTACCATATCAATTCTTTGATATTATTCACAGTTACTTTTGGATTCTCAAATGCAAAAATTTCTATCTTTTAGTTTTACATTGAACTTCTCGAACGAGCGGCGGTAGCTTTTTCTGGAATACTGGATGCTAGCATGCAAGTAGAGTGTTCATATAGTATTCAGACTATTTTACGAGAACTGCTTGGAAAACATGGTTCAGAGAGTTCGCATTTGTGGGACTCATTAAGCGACCAATGTCGAAACTCGTTGTCGATGCTCAGGAAATCAAGTTTTATATTGCATAAGCCTTTCCAATATCTTCCGGCAAAAAGGTGTTAATTTAACTGTTAAGCTATAAATAAAAATCATTACGGAATTGAACAGTAATTTCTTTGAGTTGGATTAATAATTTTATTTTCAAATCCGGTTGCATTTTCAGGCCAATAATTGAATGCGAGGAAGTGAAAGATTTCAGAAGCTGGTTGAACCTATGGTATAAAATAACAGCTTCAAAGGTAGATAGTAGCGTTTTTTTCTTCCAACGGATTTTTACTTTTGCGTTAGCTATTCTTTTTTTAATTTCTACCATAATCGTCTTTGATTTAACGATAATGATAAAGCAGTTTCAATTATCTTCTGAATGTTTTTTGGACAGTATTCAATGACATTATTTCAACTGTCAACTATATCTGTTATTTGAAAAGACATTATTAATTACACTTTAATAATTACAGATACGCGATGAGAAATTGAAAATTTTTTTCGGTGCTTTAGAAGGCTTAGTAAATGCAGATATCGTTTTTGCTGGCTTCATCTTACCGCAGTTAATTCTTCAGATTATTATTGAGCATAACCTCACGTATATGGATGAGGTAATTTAATGGAACTTTTTTAAATTAGATTTAGAGGTATTTGAAAATTTGTTCGAAATTTGTTAGAAATAGCTAAATTTAAGTGTAGAAGGATTTTTTTGTTCAAAATTGACATGAAAAAAGGGTGAAATCTCTTCAAATTACATGGCGGTCTTTTTTGCTGTTGTGAAATTTTTCACTAATTGAATAACTAATTTTTGTTCTAAATTACTTCTCATAATTAATTAAAAATTGTGATAAATTGCACTTTTAGATTGGCATGGAAATGATTGCAGTTCTGCAGAGGTCAATCGTTGATAGTGGATGGCCTAGATCGGCTGCACATCTGATTTTTGCAGTTGTCGATTGTCTGGAGCGATTTATATATCATCGTCGATCTCTAAAAATTCCAACCGATAGGGTATACGGATTTCTCTTATTATAAATTTTGATTTTTGTTTTCCAGTTTCTTAATAAAATTGGCAGAAGTTTTACCCTGCCTTTCATTATTATTGAACAATATTTTGTAATTTTATTATTAGTTTGTTTTAGTAATCAGCAGAGATATCACCTCTTCAAATTTTTCATCCAAACTTCAGATTTCTTTAGGTTCTCTTGCGTACTATAGAAATTCTGTCAAATGTAACGATACAGAGATCGGATGATGGAAATTGCTTAATCGTTGCTGCAGCTACAGTATGTCATTGCACGACAAGAGCATTGAAATGGTTAGATAACATTATTAGTGATTAAAATTGTAATGTCCTAACACACCTTTTCTTAAAATTATGTAATCTATTTTCATTAAATCTTCAAATGTTTCAGAATCACATACTGGATTATATTTTAATCAAGAAAACTTTGGTTTTGTATTTCTGAACTTTAGGTGTGAGCAGTATGCAATTGGTTATGATGAAAATGGCCAGACGTTATTTAAACCAGATCAGTTCAGCTTTCTTGAGGTGCAAATTTATTTTTGGCAATCAGCTTTTGGAATTCTTGTCCATATATTTTCTAAAGAAAATTTTTTAGAAAATTTATTTTGATCTGGGTGATATGGATGGTGTAGCTGGAGCTTTTGAAACGATACGTTTCTGTGCTGAACCAACCATAAACGACCGGATTTTATCGTTAGAAGCCGATGGAAATTACTGGGATGCATTACCTTTGTATAGAAAATCAAACAATGTGGAGATGGGTGTAAATTATTACTTGAAATTTTTTAAAAATTAAATCACAAATGGTAAATTTTCGGTGAGCTATTAAAGAAAAAACTCAATGAGCTCAATTTCCCTGGAAAATCTGAAAAAGTTGTATAATATTATTTCAATATTTTCAATGTCATTAAGTATAGGATCATAAAATATCTGACGAAATTTATTAGATGTTTTCTGCAATATTTTTCTGCAATATATTTATCTTAATAGGAAGTGCTTCTACTTAAAGTGTTTGAAGCATATCATTATTGTACTTTAATAAGAACTAGGAACTTACTAAACCATTTACGGTCCAATGTAATAATTAAATATATCCAGCACTTTTTCAGCCTTCCTATATCAAATGTTTATTGCGTCTGAATGAACCGCGATTAGCGCTGAGCGGAATTATTGATTTGTTACAAGGATCGGAAAATATCGAATTTCAAGAAAGTACTCAATTTAACCATTTATTAATAAATAGGAAAGAATTAAGTTGCAGTGGCCGTCTTTCACTGAAGAAACAAGAATTTAGAACAGATGAATGAAAATTTGGAACTTTCGTTAACAAATGGATTCCAAAGAAATTGCATCAATTTGTTCTGTCCATCCCTCTCACAATTTGTATTATTCAGCGGCTTTGCCTTGTAATGTAAATGTAGAAATGATTATGTTGCAGAATTGCGTTCATGTCAATTGGAAGCAATGTGGCAGTTGCAACTCTGGGATGACTTAACAGATTCGTTGTGTAAGAAACCTGAAGCAACAGTATGTGGTGCTACATATGCAAGCGTAATTTGTACCCTGAGAAATCAGCAGTTCAATTTAATGGATGATTTTTTAATCAATGCTCGAATGCGTTTGGCAGATGCACTGACTGCTATGACGATTGAAGATTCAGATACTTATACACAAGCTTATAAAACTATTACACAGTAAGCTCATGATTTCTTTTTTCTGATATTTTGTATTTTTTACTATCTTATTAGTATGTATTCTTCTTATCAAAAGATTTTTGTTATCAGGAAATCGAACTACTTTTATTTATTTCTTCAGCAATTTGAAAGTTTGAATTACTGCTTAATTGAGATTTTTTTCTCCATGAATTTTGATGTGCCAACTAAAAATAATAATAGCTTGATTCTTGTGAATTTATTTCAATTAATTAATTTACAGATTGCATATAATGGCAGAAGTAGAGGATGCGAAGAGTTCACTGAAGCTAGAAAATGGCGGAATTTTAACAGTGGAAGATTTGTCCAAAGTTTTGAGTGTTTGGCAGGTATGTATGAGAAGGATAACCGGAAAATCAGGCACAAAAAAAATCCTATGTTGGTATGAAAGAAGTAATAGTTGCATAATTTCGAAGCATAGCAGATTGTTTTTAATCTTTTTAATCTTGCTGGAAAGAAATGATACTACTGCTTGATGAGTGATTCAAAACAGGTGGTATGATTCATCGTGATTCCAGAAAGCGAATAGATTAAACAAAGCTTTGATAGTCAAATTAATTATTCATAAGTAATTCATGTAATATGTAATTCAAGTTTGTTGTTTTGATAATGTTCAAATAATTCCAATTTGTAGCCTGCTTTCTGGATTGATTTATTTTTACTATTTTAAATTAAATGAGTTTAAATGTTTGACTGTTGATCCTTAATTATTCCTTTGCCAATTTTTCTGGAAAAATCAATAATTTCATTGTTTAGAAACGTGCAGCAAAAGCGATTCAAAGCGGTAGCGTTTTGGAGCCGATTTTGAGTACTCGTCGAAGCCTATTGGGCTTGTTAAAAGGTGACATTGGACGAGATTCGATTTGTGATCTCTTTTTGCAGAGTTGTCGTTTAGCGAGACATGATGGGCATCTACAAGTTGCTTGGTCATACCTTAGTCAGGCAAAGGCATTAAATGTTAACCAATTTGAAGTTGAAATGGAAGAAGCTCGATATCTTTTTCAGAAGGTTTTCTAATAATCTGTTCTTTCTTTAATTTCCTATTTTAGTGCTGTTTTGGATGAGACGGAAATAGCTTGTTGATTATCATCATAAGCATTTTTTGGCGTAATTTAAAGCATATCAAACATGGAGTTGTATCAGCTTTCGGAGAGTGACATATTTCAGGGAAATCAAGTCCAAGCAATACAAATTCTTTCAAATTTGTTGAAAAGACGTTTTTTGGACGAGATGCAGCAACTGAAAAATATCTCATGTGACGGAAAAGATTTTTGTTGCAGTGAGGAAAACTACTCTAGGGAATTGAAAAAGGGAAATGAAGATTTTGTCAAGGTCTTTTGAATTTTTTTTGACACTTGATCGTAGTATCCAGTTGCTGTAGACAATATTAAAGATCTTTTCTATACGTTAATAATTTAACTTATCAAAAGATATAGCAGGCCTCAACATGAACGATATGAATTAACAGAGCATGTTGACGATGATATATATTTCGCAACCTTATTGTTTTGCAATTTTACAGGCACAATTACTATTTGCCGAATATTCATTAAGAGCAGGAGCCAGTAGTTATGGAGATTTTTATAAGACATATTTTTCACTTCCTTTAATTGCTGAACAGTCTGAAGATTTGTTTTATCGAGTAGCCGTCTTCTTAGATAAATATTTATACAGCAAGAACGAAGTAAGTCATCAGTCATTTTAATTCAGTTTTCCATCATTTAATGTCTTATTATTAAATTCGTATATCTTGTCATTTTAATCTCATATTTTAACATCTCAGAATTTTTAAGTCTTACAAATAGGTAGCGAAATCGTTAAAACTATACTAGTTTTTTGTTTACGACAATTTCTATTTTGAATATCTTTCAAATTTGCTCTTTCAGTATTTTCAGATGTTATGCAAAAACTAGTATGTCTTTTTTTAGAATGCTGAAGCTCATAATGTTACAATGATTTTAAAAGCCTACAGGCGAGTGCTGAAGCATGGAAAAAGTTATTTGTTTCATGTTATGCCACGAATGTTAAGCATCTGGTTGGATTATACACAGAAAATGGTAGTTTTTAATTTTAAATAATTATTTCGTATGTTCCTGGAGTTGAGAGATAATTGCTGTTTACTGTTTTCAGGTTGAAAATGGAAGTATGCAGCCACCAATGAAAGTACACATAAGAGGATTACCATTAAAAAGTTCAGCAAGCGAAGATAAATGTGTTAGAGAGGTGTAGTATTTTTTTCTACTCGCAGATAGTTACAATTCATTGTTGAAATTTCGCGATTTTTATGTTTATATGATCGCAGTTATTCATTGATTATGTTTAGCTGTTCGGTATTATCCCAATCGTCTGGCCATCTCGGATCATCGGGATCCTTAGTCGTTGAAGGACTGGCCTCTTTCAAGAATGTTGAAATGACAAAAATTATTCTATAATTGGGTCAACTGTAGTTCGAATTCTATGAAGTTGCGGCCAGTGCATATTGATCTCTTCTTAATTTCCTCAAGCCTTTGGATTTATTTTATCGCACTTTGACACTCTCTATTTCAATATTTTCCATACTTATTGTACATAATTTCCTGCTAAGATGTTTTTCTCAGAGTTTATAGATAAAGAGTGAATAATGGAGAAAAAGCTTTATTTTGAAGTCTTTTTTCGCTCTTTTTATGAGATCTAAAGAAGACTTTTAAAACAAAATATGCAGAATGCAGTGCGTGCCTATTATTTATGCTGGCTCGCAATTTATATAAAATTTTGTCAATACTTAAAAACTTGATTGAAATGAAATGAATGGTTTTGTATGAAAAATTGTAAAATATTCAGATGAATGGAGTAATATACGATGGTTTCAAATGCATTGATCATTATATGTTTTATACAGCATTTGCTCAGCTAATTTCTCGTATTACTCATCCAAATGAGGATGTCTTTCAAACGTTGAAGGTAAGTCAGCAATGTTTTTTGTAAAAATGAGTGTTCAGAAGAAGAACGATATATCGAGATACATCATTTTGGTAAACACTATTCTTTTTTTTGTTACTTTAGTCTTTTCATTACTTTAATACCTTTTCTTGTCTAACCAGAAAATGCAGCAAACAATTTTTAAAATTTATGATAGAAATGCTATTCCTGTTTGTTATAAATGAGGTGCTTAAATAAAATCTCCGATGTAAATCAGTTGGTAGAATATGAATGTATTGATAATTCAGTTTTTATTTGATTCAGCTAAGAATGATCATATTTTTTCTGGATTAACAAATCCAAATAGTCAAATTTTAGAAGATTCTATCTACATTAATAGTAGAATATCCACATCAGTGTTTATGGCAGTCTATTGCTGTCTTTCGTTGTGACGCTGATAAGCAACCATTACGTTTCACCCGTTGTCGCGCTGTATACGATTTAGCTAAACGGAGTGATGAAACTGGTCTATTAAAAATTTTAATTCCACAATATGAATATGTTGCAGCTGCTTTTATCAGGTAAAAAGTTTCGGAAATGTATATATCCGGAATCTATCGCTTATAATTCGAAAAATTTACTAATTTATCATTGATAAACCTGTCTTTCCTTGCTTCTATAATTGTGATTTGTATAATCCAGCAGCTGTTTAAGTTCTTCGTTCTGAAACCACGTTGTTCGAATCCTAATTAAATCTAAAACTTCATGAGATATTTTTCAGTTAAAAGGAAATGAGGGAATCATGGATTATATATTTTCAATTTTAATGAGTATGTCAACTGTTTAAGTTAAGAATTAAATAGAAACATCAAAAAAGTAATTAAAAAATACAGGGAAAAGCAAGATATATAATTTGATTCTGTGTATTCAAATTCATTTATCTTTTATCTCTAGTTTATTTGACTTTATCTTTTGAACAAATGTATTTTTTACAGGGTTGCGGAAGACAGTTGTCCAATAGGTACACAATCGCCATTCAGCCAACGTTATGCTTATCTTTCAGAATATTTTCAGAGCGGTAAAATAAGTCCGATAATTTGGAGTATGTATTTTGTCTTTTTTCACATAAGATAAGCGAGAAATCATAAATCTTCAAGTATATTTTAAATGCGGTTGAATAGTTATCCATATATTCAAATGTATTGTCATAGTATCTTCACTCAGATCATTGCTTTAAGATTTTTGACCAATAAAATATTCTTTGAAAAGTGTTGTTACGTACGCCTCGTTCCGAAATAATTTTCTTAAATATCAAAAGTTCTTATTTAGCAGCAGAAGGAGGTCAGGAAAAAGATAAAAAAGAATCGGTTCGACCATCAGTCGTTGTACCATTGCATAAGATGATCGAACAAGCGATTCCAACCAGTGTTTTGAGCACATTATCACAATTTCCGGATGCGAATTTGGAAAAAACTATGCCAGAAACTTCGAGTAACATGAAATTGAGCACCATATATATTCACTCAATTGATGAAGAATTTACTGTGAGTTCGACTAAACTTACCTTTACCATGCTTTTCTTTCTAGTAGCCAAAAGACTCATTTACCATTTTAACTTTCAAGTTTGCTTGATGTCAAAACGTCTCTTCATAATTTTAATTTTTTTTTTCACGATGTGGAGTGTAAATTTCAAAGCATCTCTATTTTACATTTTTTTCAGGTAATGAAGTCATTAGTTCGTCCCAAAAGGATTACCATAGTGGGATCTGATGGTAAAAAATATCCGTTGATGTGTAAAGCAAAAGATGAATTGCGTAAAGATGCTCGTCTTATGGATTTCAATCGGGTACCTTTTTCACATTACTTGCTCTTTCTTTTCATAACATCCCACACACATTTATGTATGTGAGTTTACAAAAACAGCGTGTACTTCCATTGAAAGATTGTAGTAGTCATGACATTATATTGTTTGTTGTAGTAAGTTTCACGAATCACTTTAGTTATTTTTTTATTAATACATATGAGAAATATTCTCCTAAATAAAGTCAATAATTAGCAAGTTGTAGCTGGTTCAAATTCTAAAAAAGCGAAGGTTATTTACTAGACGCTGTATTCTAATAAAAAAGATGTTGCATCACATGGTACTATATTGAATTCTAATCCCATAAAGAAAAACAATAAGATATTTACAACGTTTTCTTAAGTTTAATTTCAAATTGAATTTCTTTTCAGATGGTAAATGCACTGTTACATCAAAATGCAGATGCCAGACGTAGACAGCTTCATGTCCGAACATACAATGTCATTCCATTGCAAATAAGTTTTATTTCCTCATTTTATTATTGCATAGATAAGTGTATGCTGTCTTGGATTTTTTTGGATTGAGGTACGGAGAGAATTATCTCTTCCTCAGCTTATTTTTGATATTGAGTTTCCATTTTAATCTTGATGTCCAAAAGAGGACAATAACTGATTTTTCAATTCATTGAAGACAGTCTGTATTTACAATAGAAAGTAAAGTTTTTTTGATCGTCTAAATTTTATAGGATGCTGGTGGTTTAATTGAATGGATTCCAAATCTCCAAACTTATCGAAGTCTTGTGGAGCAGCTGTTAAAAGAAAAATGTAATAGCGTAATGACCGATAAAGAATGGTTTGCTCGATGGGTACCTAATGGAACCGATGAAGAAAAATTGGCAAGATTACGGACCGAGTACTATCCAAGACATCCAATTGTGATGCCGGAATGGTTCAGGTAAAAGAGAATTTTCTCTTTTTCGATTTACAGATTCCAATTTATAAAATTTTCAAGTGCTATTTTGATAAATGCTATATTCTAAATCTAATAATCTGTAATTCTCTTCAAATTTCGTGCTTCTTTCATTATGTTTTGCTCCGGAAATTTTAGATGTATGACCAGCAAATTTGAAAATTTCTCCTTTTTCTCTATGTTAAATTGGTCATAGTTTTTTTAAAAACACATAATTATTAAAAAATAAAAAAACTTCAGGCGTTCATTTCCGGACTCATGTCGTTGGTACGCTGCACGTTTGGCTTTTACATATACATCAGCAGTAATGAGTATGGTAGGTTTTATACTGGGGCTCGGAGATCGGCACGGTGAGAATCTCTTACTTGATCTTATCAATGGTGATGCGATTCATGTGGATTTCAATTTATTGTTTAACAAAGGAGAGAATTTAAATGTTCCTGAAGTAAGCTAATTTCTGTGGTTTGTTATGATGTACATAATCGAATTAGGCGCGGGAAAAGTGAAGGGTCAACTATTCTTCGCTTGGATCTTTGTCCGTCGATTTCTTTTATGGGTAAATTGTCGATGCACATATTATGGTGAATAATTTTAATTCAGGTAGTTCCATTCCGTTTGACGCGCAATATTGTTGCTGGTTTCGGGGCAACTGGTGTTGAGGGCGCATTTCGTCGTTCATGTGAAACAACAATGCGTGTATTACGTGAACATGATGAGGCATTACTCACTGTTTTGCAAACATTTGTACATGATCCACTTCTAGAATGGATGCATAGCGAAAGTCGAGCTCAGCAATATAAGCAGGTTTGTTATATCATGTCTAACGTGTTTTTGCATAATTTTAGAAATCTGATATTGAATAAAAGGAAGTTTTATGAGAGAACGATATTTTTTTCTAGCGAAAGCGAAATGAAATCAAATTATCACCGTCAGTAGCTCAACAACAGGCACAAGAAGCAATCGACATGATCCGATCCCGTTTGATAGGTATTGGCAAATTTTGCACCTAATTAATTTTTTTCTAAATAATCTATAGTTTCATGATAAATGGAAAGTATGAAGTCGTTATCTTTGAATTCCTTAATTCCTTTTTCTTTGGAAATTATGTAATTCTTTTTCATTTCATTCCTTTTTTATCGCAGTTAGAGTTCTTTTTTATTTCTGTTTCGAAAATATATTTCATTGGTTTTTCCGCTGATCCAACTATGCCAATAGCATGATTGTTTTTTTGCTTTTCGCAGGTCACATTATAACGCCAAAAATTTACCGCACAGAGACGAATAACCCACCAATGAGTATTGAAGGACAAGTAGGTCGACTGATTGATATTTCTTGCGATGAATTAAATCTTGCTCGAATGTATATTGGCTGGTGTCCGTTTATATAATGTTCTAGCAGAGATTTAAATTTTGTAAATATTTAATACAGTTTGATTCTTATTTCATTTTGTTTTCTTCTGATACATTTTAGTAAAGCTAAATATTGCACAGTTACTGCACGTGTAAAACTTTACCCGGTAATTGGTGATAAAATAATTAGTGATATGTTGTAGACTTTGGTACATTACTAATTGGTATGATTGGAACCATCAATATACTGTCTAAAATATCGTACTTTATAAATCTTCTAAAGTATCTATTCAAATCCACCGGTAGAAAATGGTTTTTTGTAATTTCAATATTCTTGAATATAAGATCCACTGTCGTAATCCTATTATAGTTTAGAATATTATTTCAAAAAAAAATACAGAATTATAAAATGCCTGTCTTTTTTTTGAAGTACAAACTTTCAGCGCATTGTTTTGTCAAAATATTTCATTCTTGATTTCTTCCCTTACTCAACGTTCAGTTTTTTTAATAATCTGATAATGCTCTTTTTTTCTTCCTTTATGTGACTTATTCTTTATTTACTTTTATTCGCAGGTTATTTATGTATTCTAAGTTAGAAAATCAGATTCATTTGTTTCTTACTTTTTGGTTTTTTTCTTTGAGTTTTTTTATAGCTCGAGTAGTTTTTTTTAATATTAATTCTTTTGAAGTGTTAAACTAATCGATCAATAATTCGATATTTCTGAAATAGACATTTTTGTCTTATTCTCATTATTGCATATGATATTTCTATCTGTCTGAGTAGAATTGAGCTTTATCAGAGTAGACTGTGCTTTCAAATAATGCCTCATATCTACTTTCTCATTTCTGTTAGTGTGTCCAATCTTTCTCTTTCAGATTATTTTAGAAGCATTCCGTACTAATACACTTCTTTACTACTTCATTTGTTACTTTTTTTCAACATGTTTCGTCCTATTTCACTATATTTAATTTGCAATTCATGTCCGTTGAGGTACCGAAATATACCGAAAAAAAAGACGAAGCATGCTGTTTGTTCAAGTACCACCTGACATGAAGAAATTGGAGATGACTATAAACATCATATAGTTTTGCCCAGAACTGCCTATAAAATCAGATAAAATTTGTTAGGTGTGGTAAGCGTAAGTGTCACAAACGTTTATGAAATTTTCGATATTTTTTGAAATTTCTTATTTATGTTATCTGTATGATGACAGCACTTTTTAAATGTATAAAAGTAAATTCCTACCACCATTTTTTTTATTACTTTATGGATTATTTCTTACATATGGTTGGGTACTTCTAAACGCAAAATGGCGCGGTACAAAGTAAATGCAATTGTTATGCTTGCATTATTGATTTTCACGTCTTTGCTGGCGAACAGTGCACAAAAATCTCGATATTTTCAAATTACAATGCAGAATATAACAAGCGCAACAGTCGAACTTTCATATTATAATTTGAACATCGAGAACAATTTAGGAGGACACAGTAGTGGTGCCATTTCTACACCAGGTATTTCCGATCATTAATTTAAATGACGGAACTACGCAAAATTGGAAGCAAAATAATTTTAATCTAATTCGATAGCTATAAATGAAAATAGTAGGTGATATGATATAAATTTCCGGAAACCATTTCTGGAGCCGAGAGTTAAGTTATCAGTATAAGCACTTGGAAAAATGCATGATTTTTATATATTCTGCGCTATGCGGATGTGCTGATATTTTGAATGTTTGTTTTTCAAATTTTTTGATAAATTGTATGGACGAAAAAATGAACTGATAAAAATGAGAATGGGAAAGTTCGCAAGAAGATAGGCTCTTTTTCTCATTCGTTGAGAACTAAACCATAACTTACAATATTGATAATAAAGCTTTTTTTAATTTTTAAAGTTATTTTAATCAGGAAATTTACTAAAACGAAGAAGGAATGTTACTCAATTAATTATCGACGCAGCCCCACTCAAATACATGTATATATATGTGAGTGTTCATGATTTCCTTAATTTTAATTCTCGAAATTTAAAGCGTCAATTGATTGGCCTTGTAATTAACTTGAAAGTGATTCCATACTGAAAACAATAGACAGAAAAGTGAGAGATGGTTAATACTGTGTAAGGAAAATGTTGGAATGCATTTCTGAAATAATGATATTTATAACAAGATTCTCTTTTATTCCTTCTAACACTGCAGAAAGAATTCTCCAGCAAATTCATATTCATTTGATAGATTTAAAATGAAAAGTACGAATAAAAATTCAATAATTTAAAAATCTAATGTTTAGAAATTAAAATAAAATTAAAGTTAGAAATATCAAACTTTTATACGCTTCTGATGTGATTCGAAATTAAATATTAAAATTAAGGTTGGAATATTCTATCTCAGTGTAATAATTATGATAGTGGTATTGGATGGTGCGATACCGCGATTGCGTGGTAAAATTGCAGTAACAACACCAGTAGGAAGCACGGATATGTTGCACTCGGCATATGAAGAACCGAGACCGTTGGTACATAACATACCACCGGGTTATGATACATCATTACCTTCACCACCGATACCTCCATTACATAATAGTGGAGATAAAATAGGCAAATTGAAGGAGAAAGATTAGAATGGATTGAATTATTTAATAATAAAACGCATTTTGGAGATGGAAGGAAATGTTGTCGAAGATGATCCTTTCAAGTCTCAAAGATTTCTGGAATTATTTTTCGTCACAAAAAATTAGAAAGAAGCAAATTTTTCAAGCTCATTGATTTGTCTCATTTTTAGAACTTTCTTTATCGAAAAATATTAACATCATAATGCTAATTAGCCTTTCTGCTTTTATTTTTTTACATTTTTCCTTTTCTCTTCACCTCATTTTTGTCTTCTTCAATTTTATCATGAATGTTATGTTCGGTGTTCTTTTTTTCCTGCATTATCATTTAAATTTATTATTTGAATCTTTTATTGCTATTTCTATTCGTACAACATTTGAAAGTTTGAAAATATTCTTTCGCCCGTTATTTCCTGTTTGCCTACGAACTGTTGCATTCATCTTTTTATCTGAATAAACTTGCATAATTTTGATATATTGCAAAATTGCAGCTATTTGATTGTTAATTTCATTTCTATTCCAATGTGATGAGATAAGGTTGCATTCTTTTTTCCGTCGTATTGCTGTATTTTACATCGTATAAGCAACCAATTCGTCAATGACTTTTTGTTTTAGGAAATCAAATTTAGCTGGAAAAAAACAAACCGTTCAATGATTTTCAAAAAAAGACGGTTTAAAAGATGAAGCCATATGTAAAAATGATTTAAATCATAAAAAAATGGATTTGATTCTGCCGCTGCTACCGCTACCGCAGCCACATTAATACTGCTGCCAAATTTCATATGCTAAAGCACATAATATTTCTGAATAATATAAACTAAAATACGTTCGTTGTTTAAATACAAAATGTTCAAAATTTGGAATTGACTTCATTCAAATGCTCAATTTTAAACTTAAACGCTAAGTATATGTGTGCCTGTATATCTGTATGTGTGCGTGGGTGAGTTCATTGTAACGAAAAGGCTAACTAGCTTATGACTTATGATCTAAAGAAAGTCAGCATTTGGATTTCAGGCCGTGTCATTGTATGAATTCATTCATTGATTTTGAATCGCTCTTGCAGTTTCAAATCGTTTTTACTATAACTGATCTGCACAGTAATAAAGTGAATAGAAATGACCTCACAGCCGATCAGCAACGGTGCAAGGGAGGAGAAAGTTGGTGACGAGAAGGCTGAACCGTGCGCTGAGGACGACGAAGACTGTTGACATGATGGGATCGGCAAGTAATTAATGCCACCCACAGGAAAAGATGGTACTGCGCCACATTCCAGCGAGATGCTACCGACTTCCATAATACTTACTGCACGTTACCGTACTTTGGTCACGTAGCCAGGAAATTTTCTTTTGGCCAGAATTCCCTTAAGACGAGTAATTCAGTGTTACTTACTGTGACACCATAACGGCATCGTTCTCAAAATGCAGAAATGATTCCTAAAATGGATCAACACGAAGAGGGAAGAATACCAACGTCGATTTCCTCAAAC